CACAAATTCATGTACTGGGCCCCGTGTGTGTGTGTGTGTGTGTGTGTGTGTGTGTGTGTATAAAATAGAGGAATATGTAAATTGTCCAGGATGCTGTCACAGTAACGACTGAACAGCAGGCTCTGGGGCAACAAGGCCAGCAGGGGGGTTAGTGAGGGACAACCAAATGACGGAACAGCAGGCTGTATGGGGTGACCAGGCTGGCAGGGGAGGCAGTTGGGAGCCAGTGGTCCTGGATTGTGAGAAGGATGTCCGACTGCCCATGCAGGCATGATCCCAGGGATCCCCCCACCCCCTGTGCATGAATTTCATGTACCAGGCCCCGAGTGTGTGTGTGTGTGTGTGTGTGTGTGTGTGTATTTCTCTTGCCAGGGGGCTGAGAGAGTTCTTCCTTAACATTTGGTATGTGCTCTTCTGAAGATTTTGGATCTCATTCAGAACCAACCAGATGTCTCTGGTGACCAGCTCAAAGGAAGGAGGTGCCCTGCCAACGTGTGGGGGTGGAGATGGAGGGCAGTGGGCTTATGCACCTCCTTGGGGCTTCAGGCTTGCACTCTAGGGGTGCTCCAGGGCTGATGTGGAGGGTCTTGGCCCTAGGGTACCTTCTCTGCCTTCTAGGTTCTGGGGTAAAGACTGGCGTGTGAAGGAGATTTAGGAGCATCCGGGCCACGCGTGCCCATGTGATAGGTCCCTGAGTAACAGAGCTACCTCAGGCTCAAATGGTCCACCCATTTGGTTATTTTCTGTTACTTCCTCTGCTGAGATTTACTCTTTTTATTCATTGTGAGTGCATTTCTTTGTGTTTCATGAGAGCATTGTTCCTTTTGCTGAACTGAAATCTGTGTGTGAATTTCATTATCCTGGTTCTCTCAGGGCCAGTCTTCATTGTTTCTTGTTGAGTTTTCCTGTTTCTTATTTTGAATAATTTTGGATTGTATTCTGGACATTGTAGAGACTGGATTCTGTTGTATTCTTTCAGGATTATTCATTCTGTGGAGAGAAGAGTTTGTTTAGTGGGCAGTTAATTCATCTGGGCTGAGACTACAACTCTGCCGCTCTTACAGGGGCACAAGATCTGTGAAATGTTTTTCTTTTTAAAGGGGGACTTTTTTTTTTTTAAATATATTTTATTGATTTTGTACAGAGAGGAAGGGAGAGAGATAGTTAGAAACATCGATGAGAGAGAGTCATCGATCAGCTGCCTCTTGCACACCCCCTTCTGGGGATGTGCCCGCAACCAAGGTACATGCCCTTGACCAGAATTGAACCTGGGACCCTTCAATCCACAGGCCGACACTCTATCCACTGAGCCAAACCGGTTTCGGCATGAAATGTTTATTTTTCCAGCTTTGGCTGGGTTGTATGGAATGTGCCGTGAGTGCATAGTTGCGTCAGCCAGAGATTTGTGTAGATTTTATGCTCAGAATGTGGGAAACACCCCCTTCTCTCTCTTCTCTGGGATTTCCCCCTTCACTTTTCAGTGGCCCTATTCACCACAAACACTGCTCTGGTTCTTGAAGCCAGTTGGACACAAGTCTTTTCCCTGGATCTCAGCTTCTCCGCTTGGCACTCAAGGTAAAAGCTACGGCCCCACTGCTGTGGCTCAGTGGTTGAGCCTTGGCCTGTGAGCCAGGAGGTCACAGTTCAATCCCTGGTCGGAGCACGTTGCCTGGGTTGCGGGTTCGATCCCCAATGTGGAGTGTGCAGGAGGTAGCCGATCAATGACTCATTGATGTTTCTCTCCCTCTCTCTCCCTTCCTCTCTGAAATAAAAAAAAAAAGTATGTTAAAAAGAAAAAATATAAAAGCTATGAAGAACCGGACATTCTGCAGTGCTTTTGCTTATACTCCAGTGTGTCTGGATAGCGGTTGTAAACAGTATTTGTAGGGGCCCAGACATTACCGGAGGTGGACCCTGCCCAGCCCTCCTGAAAGCTGCCATAGGAGGTGAACCACATTGTGTATTATCAGCCAGGGAATATTTGGGTGGTTTCTGCTTGGGGGATGTCCCAGGTTGTATATTTGGGTGCCCATGTATGTTTGAGCACCTGTTTCAGTGTTCTTAGGGGTCCACCTGAGAGTGGACCTACATTGTTTTTTTGAGGAGCTACATTGTCTTCTATTAACGTCTGCACTTCACTCCCCATCCACTGTGTGTGGCTGATTTCTCCAACACTTGTGATTGTCGTCTTATTCTTTCCCTTAAAAAAAAAAAAAAAAAAAAATATATATATATATATATATATATATACACACACACACACACACACACACACACACACACATATATATATATATATATATATATATATAATTGATTTTTTCAGAGAGGAACAGAGAGTTAGAAACATTGATGAGAGAGACATCAATGAGAGAGAATCATCGATCAGCTGCCTCTTGCACACACCCCCATTGGGGATGTGCCTGCAACCAAGGTACATACCCTTGACCGGAATTGAACCTGGGACCTTTCAGTCCACAGGCCAACGCTCTATCCACTGAGCCAAACTGGTTTCGGCTATTCTTTCCCTTTTAAATCATTAATAATCCTGATCCACGGGGCAGGCAGGAGTTATTTGTGTGGAGGGACAGGGAGCTGAGATCTCCTGAGCAGGATTTAGTAATCTGAAGCCCATTGGAAAGATACGGTGACAGTTGTTCCATTGTACCAACCCTTGATCATAAAATATTCATAAAATATTCTGTGGCTGAGGGCACTTGAGTAGCCTTTGCCCTGTGAGACTTGCTGGTGGCTGAGGGTCTTAAAGTGTGGTCCAGGGTGGCTTGTGAATGGCGGGTGTCCCTAGAGCTACCCTCGAAGAACTGAGCCTGGAGCACACGTGGTAACGCGGGGCACATGGAACAGGAGCCGCCGTCTGCTATTGCTTTGCGTGCTTTCTGCCCTGTCTCTGGGAGGCAGGCTCTAGGTAGTGCAGCAGGGGAACATGGAATCCTGCTGCTGACGGGGCTCCTTATACTTTATGGAGTGCTGGGCAGATGCATTCTGACCCATGGTGACTGCTCCTTGCCTGGCTGCAGGTTTCAGTTCTGTTTGGGGCTGCCATGGCATATCTCCTGGGGTGATAGGAGGCTGTGCCATGCCGCTCCCAGAGGGTACATCAGTTGCTCTGGACTTTGTGGATTGGTATGGCTTCAGGTCTAACTTTTGTTAGTTTGTTTTTCTTTTTTATTAGTCCTAACCTGAGGATATTTTTCCATTGATTTTTAGAGAGAGTGGAAGAGAGAGGGAAAGACAGAAACATTTATGTGAGAGAAGCACATCCACTGGTTGCCTCTTGCATGAGCCCTGACCAGGGTGGGGGATGGGGAGGAACCTGCAACTAAGGTACGTGCCCTTGACTGGAATTGAACCTGGGACCCTTTGGTCTGCAGGCCGATGCTGTTTCCCTCTATCCACTGAGCCAAACCAGCTAGGGCCAGGTCTAACCTTTTTGAATTGTGTTTTAGGAGATGTTCTGAGTTAGCAAGGAAACCCAAAACAACTGAAAACATACATGCACACTAACACCTGTACACAAATGACCAAAATAACACTATTCACAAGAGGCAAAAAGTGAGAAAAATCCAAGTGTCCACGAGGGAATGGATAGAAACAGTGTTATCCACATGCACATGGTAGAACTGGAATGAAGCACTGATGCTTGCTGCAGCTTGGATGATCCTGACATGCTCAGAGAGAGGCAAGGAAGCCACAGACAGAGATGCTTAGTCAAGCTTGTGCTACCTTAGGAGAGGCTGTCCTGATGTGACATGCTCAGAGGGGACTGGAGAGCTTGGCGGGGAGGAGCTGGTGAGTGTGGTTGATGCCCAGTTCCTGGGTACTTAGGGAAGGAGGGTTTTCTCGTGGCCAATCTTCCCCCAGCCTGGCTCCTTATCTGTACCTCCATGCTGGTCACAGCCCCAACACAATGTGGCCTACTATGCTTTGTGTGCCTTGACACTGTTCCTGGACAGCCGCAGGGCCTGGCCCATCCTCCCCCTCACCAACCACTCTTGTTCCATTGGCACTCCCCTGGCCCTCCCTGCCCTCAGGAGGAGGATTGTGAAGGAATCGCAAGCATTCTATCCAAATGAAATGGTTTTCTAGGCCCTGGCAGTGTAGCTCAGTTGGTTAGAGCATCATCCTCGTACTCCAAGGTTTCAGGTCTCCAGTCAGGGCACATACAAAAAGCAACCAATGAATTAATAAGTGAACAAGTTGATGTTTCTTTCCCTCTCCCTCTCTGTCTTTGTCTCTCTTTCTCTTCCCCCCCTTCTCCCTTCCTCTCTCTGTCTAAAATCAGAGGTTGAGTGTTATCCTGTGCACCGAAAGATTGCCGGTTCAATTCTGGTTAAGGTATATGTCTGGGTTGTGGTTTTGATCCCTGATCAGGGCACATATAGAAGGCAACCGATAGATATTTCTCTCTCTTCTCTTCCTATTACTCTCTCCCTCCCTCAGCATGTTCTCCAGCGAAGATAAAAAAATATTGACCAAAATGAAATGACTTTTTAAAATTCATTGGTTTTTTGTTGTTTTTTTTGCTGAAACCGGTTTGGCTCAGTGGATAGAGCGTCGGCCTGCAAACTGAAAGGTCCCAGGTTCGATTCTGGTCAAGGGCATGTACATTGGTTGCGGACACATCCCCAGTAGGGGGTGTGCAAGAGGCAGCTGATTGATGATTCTCTCTCATCGATGTTTTTAACTCTCTATCCCTCTTTCTCCCTCTCTGTAAAAAATTAATAAAATATATTTTAAAAATAAAATAAAATTCAGTGGTCACAGTTGTGCCACTATCACAAAACCAGTTTTAGGACCTGTCTCTCTGGATTTGCCTGCTGTGGACTTTTCACATAAATAAAATATTATACTATGTGGCTTTTCACATAAATCAAATGCTCTGTGGTTTTTTGTTTTGGGTCTGGCTTCTTTCTGCAATAATTATTTGTAACTATTTTAGCCAAGCACTCATAATTTCTCAAATTTTTTTTTTCTTTTAGGCAAAGTATATCTCTCAGTGTATTGATGAAATCAAGCAAGAGCTGAAGCAGGACAATATCGCAGTCAAAGCAAACGCCGTCTGCAAGCTGACGTATGTGAGTGCTCAGGCGGCGCTTCTGCACAGTGCCCTTGTCTTGCACTCCTGGTGCTGTTATCAACTCCAACATCAAGCCATCTATTCCTCCATCTCTCTGTCCACCATCCATTTTTCTGTCTGTCCACCTATTTTACTGTCTGTCCATTCATCCCGCCATCGGTCCATCACTTGTCCACCTGCCAAACATTGATTGATGCCATCAGCTCCAGGCACTGGCCTTCAGCATACAGGGCTAATTCTTAAGAGTCAAGGGAGAGGTGAGCAATGATTATCAGGTGCACAGAGCATGGTGGAGGACCGGACCCATCTGGCCTCGCTCCCTTTCAGGCCTTGCTGAGAAGCCTGGTGGGTAGAGCTCTGGACCATCTGGGGTGGGTTTTCCGCACTGTCCCTTATCTGGCTGTGGTCCCTTGTTGGTGTGGGAGCCTGAGCCATGCACTCCTCCGCCCCCCACCTCTTTCTTGGTCAGCGTCATGTAGGTTTCATGAATATCATTGTAGAGAATTTTAACCAATGCACAGGATGCCAGGATTTCAGCTACACACGTTCATCATCCTATAGTGTCCCTGTAGTCTTTAATATGAAGATTTAACTGGTCAGGAAGAATGAAATGCCCTGGGTTGTGTGCTGGGTAACCCTGTGTGTTGAGAGTGCGAGTGGCATGTATCCTTCTGAGAGCTGGGATGCTGGATGGTAGGGTTTAGGCTTGTGAGTCACTGTTTCTCTCCCAACAGTTGCAAATGTTGGGATACGACATAAGCTGGGCTGCCTTCAACATCATAGAAGTGATGAGTGCCTCCAAGTTCACGTTCAAGGTGAGCTTGCTTTGGAGCCTGAACTCTGTGGTGATGGGGACTTGGGCAAAGCGGATCCCTGGTGGAGAAGGGGAAGTCCCCCAGGCATTCCTGAGGTCCATCCTATGACAGAGGTTGCACTGTGAAAAAACAAAATAAAAAAATAGTTACCTCTTTCAGTCAAATTAGCCATTCAAACATCACACTTCCAGATTTTGTCAAATTATTAATGCTTTTACATAATATTTTTCTTTCAATTTTAAGTGAAATTATGGGTTTATATTGATTTCAGAGAGGAAGGGAGAGGGAGAGAGAGATAGAAACATTAATGATGAGAGAGATTCCATGATGGGCTGCCTCCTGCATACACCCTACTGAGGATTGAGCCTGCAGCCGTGTCATGTGCTCTGACTGGGAATCGAACCCTAACCTCCTGGTTCATTGGTTGATGCTCAACTACTGAGCCATGACAGCCAGGCTGGTTATATATTTTTAAATACAAATTAAAATGAATTCATTACTCTTCAAGAAAACAAGCACTGGTTATGTCACCCAGAGGTGACAGCCTGCACTTCTATGGAGGTGTGGGAGCTCTGCCCCAAGGACCTACTTCTCCATAGCTGGGTGTGGCAGACCAGGAGAAGTGGGGGGCGGGGGAGGGGCAGACGCTCAGCTGACTGGGATAAATGGGGCCAAGATGAGTGGGAGTGGCTCCTCCCTGGCCACCTGCTACTTTGTGCACGACTATATCCTTGGGGGGATGTAGGATGCTGGTTTCAACTGATCCCCAGCCCCATCTCAGGCCATGGTGAGGGACCCCACTGGTGCACAAATCTGTGCACCAGGCCTCTAGTTGTAACATAAACATGTCTCCTATATTAGTACATATTCTGGAAAACTATTTACCCTGACACATTTGAGGGTATTCTATAATTTTCCTGGATTAGCTCAATTTTTAATGACAATGCACACCAATCAGGCAGTGTTTCCAGCCATGGGGCCCTAAGCAACTGCCTGTGAGTCTCTGCTGTGATCAAGCCCAGGTTCCCTCTAAAGGACATGGTCGTCCTGTCTGCTGGCTTCTTTAGAAGTGAAATTCTGTACTTGCCAAAATTGTGGTGGTGCTCTGCATGTGTCTTAAAGCATCAAATATATGTGTGAGTGTGACAAAGTAGCTGCATCAGCCTAGCTGAGAGATTTGAATCCTAAGAAAACCAGTGATTAGGATGACTTACTGCATGAGATCATAAAAGCAATGCCTGGCTGACAAGTGAAAAGGTAGCATTAGTAACAGGACTCCACGGTTTGGCAAACCTTAAAGGAGCATCGTATTTCTGAGACAACATACTCCCTCTGGAGTTTTAAGACTCCCAGCTTGGTTTTTGAATGACTTCCCTGTGCCCACCAACCTGTGACCCCCAGGCCGAGGGCTACTTGGTGCCAAGACCAGGCGAAGGGCTGGGAGCCTCTAGGAATACTGCATGGTCCCCTTGTCCCACCTCTGATGCCTTCTTTTGTTCCATTCATCAGCGCATTGGCTACCTTGCTGCTTCCCAGTGCTTTCACGAAGGGACCGATGTCATCATGCTGACTACAAACCAGATTCGCAAGGTAGGCTGCCCTTCCTGTAGGCCCGTGGTCTCCTTGGCTCTGTGGCTGGGTTCCTTTGGGTCCCCAAATGAATGTCTGTTCTCTAACGCTGGTTTTTCTGTCACTTGTGACTAGAAAGCGCTAAGGTTAGCGAGATCTCACAGTCACAGTTCTCTTATCGAGGAGTCTTCTGTCCTTGGTCACGTCATTCCCAAGATACTCCCACACATGGCAGAGCAGGTCTGCCTTTTTGCCTGGGCAAGAGGGAGAGGTGGAAGCTTGCTGGACTGCCCTCTTCTTTTTATTTCTTGGTGTTGGAGGGCTCCTTTCACGGATTCTCTTCTCTCCAGTCCTGTCCCTCTTACAGGAGTGTCTGTTGAGGGTGCATGCCCTTCCCAGTATGCTGGTTTCCCAGTATGTCTTTTGAGTCATACTATGTTTATATTTCAGTTATGTGTAAGTTTTTTTTGAAATGGGCTTTGAAGGCCAATAACTGAAAAAATGTCCTCCTTGGCCTCAGTACTTTGAACATCTTCGTTTCCTATGGTCAGAGGGGGTGTCATCCTTTCCTGGCCCCAAACCACACATTGGAGGCAATAGCTCCAGGCTCTCAGTGACTCTGGTCCAAGCCAGAATGTCCTCACCCATGAGCTCTGGTCATCCCACATGGTGACCTAGGAATGGGCTCTTGGGTGAACACTGTGAGCAGGCAGGTTGGCTGTGTGGCACCAGCTAGGTACTGGTGTTGGCATAGATAAGATGTGGGTCTGAGGACTTATCTGCTATGCTTGCAGTTCTTGAGGACTTGAGGTGTGGGGGGAGATGCGTGGCTGGGGGCCAGGTAGCGCAGCAGTGCTGGGTATCAGATGCCATAGTGTGATGAGGGGCAAGCTTAACTGGTAGTGGCCTTGGAGAGGTTGAGGGGAAGGACTGTGGAACCTCTTTGGGTGTAGGATGTTGGGATAGTAAATGGGAGGGTTGCAGGAGGGTGGAGAGGCTCTGGGTACCCAACACCAGCCCACCTGCTGAGGCCCAATTTTGGTTTTCCTGCTGGCCCTCTCTGCACAACCTTACCATCTTGATTTAGACAGAGATTTGTCACCAATTCACATTAAGATGTGTTAGAGACAGGTCACCTAGATCCACTTTGTTGGGAAGATGGCTAAAGCCTGAGAATGTCCTCATAAGAAAGCACATGATATAGTAACATCTGGGCTGGTGATTTTAAATATATATATTTTATTGATTTTGTACAGAGAGGAAGGGAGAGAGATAGAGAGTTAGAAACATCGATGAGAGAGAGTCATCGATCAGCTGCCTCTTGCACACCCCCTACTGGGGATATGCCCGCAACCAAGGTACATGCCCTTGACCGGAATCGAACCCGGGTCCCTTCAGTCCCCAAGCCGACGCTCTATCCATTGAGCCAAACCGGTCTCGGCCTGGGCTGGTGATTTTAACCACCACCACTGCCCCCTCTGCCTGTTGTCATCTCAGCCTCACTCACAGGGTCCTCTCTATGCAGCCCCAACCCTGTCTGCCACTGCCATTCCTCTCCATTCACATCCCCAATGTTGGCAGTCCATGTGCATGCCATTTTAAATGAACCTGAGACTTTTGAGCACGACTGCCACAGACCTGCCACCAGTGTCCTCTTCCCAAGCCTCCATTTTTGAGAAACCTTGTGGCATTTCTCCATAGCGTCCACCCTCTGCTTGGCCCTTTGTGAATCACTCTGAGATGGAAAGTCCATCAATCAGGGACCGAGTTCTGTACTGTGAGTTCTGGTGTGTTTTTATCTCATCAGCCTTGGTTGGAGTCAATTTTAAAAAATATATATATTTTATTGATTTTTTCACAAAGAGGAAGAAAGAGAAATAGAGAGTTAGAAACATCAATGAGAGAGAATCATTGATCAGCTGCCTCCTGCACACCCCCTACTGGGGATGTGCCCGCAACCAAGGTACGTGCCCTTGACTGGAATCGAACCCGGGATCCGTGAGTCCACAGGCTGACGCTCTATCCACTGAGCCAAATCAGTTTCAGCTAGAGTCAATTTTAAAAGCCAGTAATTTTTATATTATTAGCATAGTCTAGAAGCTTAATTCTTAAAATGCATCAGTATTGTTGTTTTTTTGTTTTTGTTTTTTTTACCTCATATGCATATATAAAATGTTTTGAGAGGTTCCTTAGAAAATGTCTCCACAAAAACAAGTTTGTGATATAAAAAGAATACTTTCCTAATGTTAACATGAGGTACTTCTGCGGTTGGTCTTATAACTAGAGATTGAGTGCAGCAGGTGAGTGACATTGTGGGGCATGGGGTTAGGTATGTGTTGTTCTTTGTGGCTGGTTTTTCTGTTCACCTCGAGGATGAGGCATAGGTCTAACTTTCTGCTTTGGGGAGGGGCCCAGAGGAATGAACCTGGCTATTGTAGTGGAGACACCCCAATGGACACAGAGGGACTCCCAGTGGGTGGGTGGGACTGGCTGGCCATACCATCTCCTCTGTCCTGAGTTCACAGGCAGGGAGCTCAGCCCTAGTCACATCCCTGGGACATGGGGCTATGCCAGGAGTGAAGTGAGAGCCTCCTCTTATACCCATCCCAGGTCTTCTCTCAATGACAGGAACTGGCTGCTCTGTGCGACTCCTTGGCATGGCGGGGACCTGGGTGATGCACGATTGGCGCCTGCCCCTAACCCTTCTTCCTTTTTTTCCAGGACCTGAGCAGCCCGAGCCAGTACGACACTGGAGTTGCACTGACTGGACTGTCCTGTTTTGTTACCCCAGATCTTGCCAGAGACTTGGCCAATGACATCATGACATTGGTGAGTTTGTGAGTGTGCAATTAGAAACGCATGGATGCCTGGGAAACTAAGGCTAAATTGTCACACTAAGAAAGCTCAGGATATGGAAATAGGTCTGGATCCCTGGGATGAGAGGGGGAAACCAAGTCACTGTCTTCATCTTCATCATCTAGTGGCCACTATCATTCTTGAATTCTTACTTCACCTCCTTTGAAATCGTTCTGCTTGGGGGGCTGACGGAAGCTAAGACTGTAGGCTCCACCCTGAAACCCCGCCCCATCAGGGAAGCTGCGAAAATGCCGAGACAAGGAAATAGATCACAAATGAAAGAAATGGAGGACAAAAAACGACTGGATATAGAGTTCAAAACCACACTTATAAGGTTGTTCAAGAATCTCCTAGAAAAGGTCGATAAGACTTAAGAGGATATGAAAAGGAATCAACTAGAATTAATAAGGAATCAACAAGAAATGATAAGGGATCAACAAGAAATAAAGAATACATTGTCTGAAATAAAAAATATTATACAGAGTCCTAAAAACAGAATGGAAGATAGCAAGAATCAAGTCAAAGATTTGGAACATAAAGAGCCAGAAGACACTCCTCTGCAGAAGCTAGAAGGCAAGAGAATCCAGCAAATTGAAGATAATGTAAGAAACCTCTGGGATAACTTCAAGCGAACCAATATCAGAATTATGGGGGTTCCAGAAGATGAGAGAGAGCAAGATATTGAAAACATACTGAAAGAAATAGTGACAGAAAACTTCCCCCACCTGTGAAGGAATTAGACTTACAAGTCCAGGAAGCGCACAGAACTCCAAACAAAAGGAATCCAAAGAAGACCACACCAAGACACATCATAATTAAAATTCCAAGAGCAAAAGACAGAGAGAGAATATTAAACGCAGCAAGAGAAAAGCAGGTACTTACCTATAAAGGAGCACCTATATGATTGTCAGCTGATTTCTCAACAGAAACCATGCAGGCCAGACGGGAATGGCAAGAAATATTCAAGGTGATGAATAGTAAGAGCCTACAGCCAAAGATAATCTACCCAGCAAAGCTATCACTCAGAATCGAAGGCCAGATAAAGAGCTTCACTAATAAAAGAAAGCTAAAGGAGTTCATCACCACCAAACCAGAATTATATGAATCACTGAAAGGTGTTCTTTCGGAGAGAAAGTAAATAAAGATAAAAATTATGAACAACAAATACGTAACTATCAACAAGTGAATCTAAAAAAAAAAATCTGATGAACAATATTAACTGTTGAATATAATAGAATCAGAGGTATGGAAGGAGAGTGAACTAAGGATTCTTGGGGAAAAGGGGAGAGGGGGATGTGGGAAGAGACTGAACATAAACTGTGCACCTATGGATGAGGACAATGGGGAGTGGGGAAAGGGCAGAGGGTGGGGTGGGAACCTGGTGGAGGAGAGCAATGGGGGGGGGGAAACATTTGTAATAATATGAACAATAAAAATTTATTTTTAAAAAAAAAGAAAGAAATCATTCTGCTTGGTGAAGGGGTGTGTCACTGTCAGGTGTGCTCTAGCTGAGGGTCTTCACCCTTGAGATCAGGTGTGTGACCTGACAGTTACTCTCTTATTGAGTTTTAGGTGATGGTATCGGTTGTCTCAACAAGCAGTATGGTCAGGGTTATCTTCTTAATTCTCCACCCTAAAGCCATTTGTTTTTGTCTGTTTACAGTTTGACTTCTCATAGTTTATTTGATCTGAAAGGCATAACCCCAACCAGTTCTGATCTCCTGGGTGCTGGAAGTTCATTCTAAATATGGATGGCCTCCTAGAAATCATGGCCCTCAGAGACACTGTGCACTAGTTCTCCAACTCTGTGTGTGTGTGTGTGTGTGTGTGTGTGTGTGTGTGTGTGTGATATGATCAAAAGGTGTGTGTGTGTGTGTGTGTGTGTGTGTGTGTGTGTGTGATGATCAAAAGGTAATTCTAGCCTTATACAGTCAGCCTGTTCGCTGTGCTTGCAGGTGAGCTCATGACCTCCAGGACAGTCAGTGCAGTCAGCTTTTAGATCAGGGGCCAGCGCACCACAACCATCTGTTGTAAATCCTTGAATCTGTACATGACCCTGCCATTCATTTATTTGTGAGTTCAGAGCTCAAAGGCAGAACCAAGTAATTGGACAGAAATTTTTGGCCCATCAGCCGGGACCAGTTTGGCTCAGTGGATAGAGCGTCGGCCTGCGGACTGAGGGGTCCAAGGTTCGATTCTGGGCAAGGGCATGTATCTTGGTTGCGGGCACATCCTTAGTGGGGGATGTGCAGGAGGCAGCTGATCGGTGTTTCTAACTCTCTATTCTATCCCTCTCTCTTCCACTCTGTGAAAAATCAATAAAATATATTAAAAAAAATTTTTTTTGGCCCATCAAGCCAAAAATATTGACTTTTTGGTGCTTTTAGAAAGTGTGATGACTCAGACTAGGTGACAGTAATATGATCCCACAGAGGGGTGTTAGTGAGTTGCTTATGGTGCATGTTGGTGCCAGGTCATTGGGGGTCTAGGATAGTTTTCTTAGGGGGTTGCTCCCTAGGGCCTTGACAGGTGATGAGTGTGCCCATCTGGGCCAAGAGGCCTTCATGGCAGGAACATAGTCCTAGGAGGACGGAGCTCCAGGGCTATGGAATATGGAGGCACAGAGCAGACTGAGGCCCAGGTGAGGGGAATCTGGAAATGCTCCTCAGCATCCTGGTCTAGGGTCAGATCTTGGCAGCCTGGAAAACCTGAGGCCAACATTGATGGGCAGACTCTTTCCAGTGTGAACTTCTTTTCACCTTCTCTGCTCCCGTCTCCCCACCAGCTCCTCAGTGAGTCCACAGAGGAGGGTCTCGGCCTCTGGAGATCAAGCCTAGGGTCATGGACACAGGGAGAAAGGTTTTCATCCCACCCAGCACACTATTGTGTGATACCTGGGCTTGGTGGGGCTTGAAGGTTGGAAGCTAGAGAGAGGGTTTTCCTTTGGGAAATGGAGGTGAGGCACCGGCAGGCATAGGACGTGAGCAGGGCAGTGTGAGTGGTGAGCATGCAGTGTGGGAAGGTGAGACATGAGTAGTGGGTGTGGGAGGTGAGCACAGAGATGTGCACAACAGGTGAGCAGGGCAGGTGTGGGGAGGTAAGTCATGGGTAGGAGGTGTGGAAGGTGAGCAGTGCAGGTGTACAGGCAGGTGCACAGGATGTAGTGCTGAGAGAAGCCTGATGGCCCTCTGCTCCCACAGATGTCACACACCAAACCGTATATCCGGAAGAAGGCTGTGCTGATCATGTACAAGGTGTTCCTGAAGTATCCCGAGTCTCTGCGCCCTGCCTTCCCCCGCCTGAAAGAGAAGCTGGAAGACCCTGACCCTGGTTTGTTGACTTGAGATAAGATGAGGATTGTACTGGGGTGTAGTGTTTTTCCAGTATCTAGAACCTGGTGGCGGCTGTTGTGAGGAAGGAGTTGAGGACACTAGGTCCCAGGACCCCTGTTCTGCAAACCCATCCTCCCCTGCACCTCTTTACTTTCTGGCACAAGAGGCAGGTTCAGCCCTGGAATCCACCATGTCTCCAAGCAGCCCTAGTCCCATTTATTGGTGTGGTATTTTATTTTATTTTATTATTATTATTTTTTTTGGTGTGGGATTTAAAAACCGAGGTTGGGACACTCAGTGTGCTCATGTTGCTGGGGAATCAATCCCCTAGACTCTCATCAGACACCAACATCCTGGGCAGGGGCCTGTCTGTCTGCATATCAATATTCACGCTCCCATCCTACACCGGGGGGCTTATTCCAGCCCATTACTTTCTCACTCCTTCTTTGTCTGGGCTGAGCAGGTGCAAACTAGCTTCTCTAAATCCACTGTGGGTTCTGATACTTCTCAGGGAACCTGCTGTGCATCACAGAATTATAGGTGGAGAAAATTCCGGTTGGAGAAATAGCAGCCTAGACAGCAGACATGATGGGCTAAGGGTGAGAGTGGTTGCCGTCAGGCGGAGGGGAGTAGAGTCAGTTCATATGGTGGACATCTTGTTCCAGGGATTACTTTGACCCTATGGGGACCCACCTCACAACCTTGGGTCCTCTCCTCTGGGGAGCAATGGTGGTCAGAGCCCCAAAGGATTGGGGTTTTGAGCATTACCCACAGGTGATGGGTGCAGTGCCAGGCATAAGCAGGAACCCCGCACAGAATGGCCAGGCTGATGAGGACTTCTCCCTTAGTGATGAGGTCCTCTGTTAGGTAAAATGCCAAGATCCAGAAGGCCTCAGTGTATTGTTTGCCGGTTCTGAAGAAATAACCTGGAGGTCTGGCTGAGAGAGACATGAGTTTATTAGAACTATGGATAGCCAACTGGTGAAGCCTCCAAAACACAAGCTTGTCAGCACAGGGTCGTATAGAGTACAGAAAACAAAGCCAACAGGGCATGAGGGTACATGTGCTCGTGCACGAGCTGTGAGATACAAATGCTAGCTATTTGCAGCCCGGGTCACTTTGAGTGCAGTTTCTTTTTGGCCCTTCCTCGATTGCAGAGCCAGGCAATACAGATGGCCTTCATTATATTCCCACACGTTGGGAGGGGGAGCTAAGTCTTGGGAAGGGGCCATCTGCTCCTCACATATGCTCAACCCCTCTGATCTCACAGGGGTCCAATCGGCGGCAGTCAATGTCATCTGTGAGCTGGCCAGACGCAACCCCAAAAACTACCTTTCCCTGGCCCCACTATTCTTCAAGCTGATGACCTCCTCGACAAACAATTGGGTCCTCATTAAAATCATCAAACTCGTAAGTGTCCCCAACTTTCCTTCTTCTCCTGTGTGGAAAGACCATGAGTGTGTCCTGGGAGCTGGGAGGGGGTGGGGGTTGGAGTTGGTCAGCATGGTCGTGTGGAGTCCCAAATGTGCCTAACCTGCTCTTGCTGCCTGTGACCTGGGCCTCTTATCCCCTAGTTTGGTGCTCTGACCCCCTTGGAGCCAAGGTTGGGCAAGAAGCTGATCGAGCCTCTCACCAACCTGATCCACAGGTAAGCCTCGGGGGCCTGTCCCCGGTACCACACACACACACACACACACACACACACACACACACACACACCTGTCTTTGGCACACCTGCTGTGGGCGAGCCTGTGCTCCCTGGGAGACTGTTGACATGTGGGAGGGGTAAGCCTAAGGAAAGTCTCGGGATGGAAAAGCAAACACACACATTGTGACTTTGCTGCAGATGAAAAACTATGTCTCGGTACCTGCTGGCCCTCCTGGGACCAGGCTGGGCTGGCTTTCCTTCATTCCGTTTTTAAAACAACACAAACAAAGGAAAATGAAGAAAGGTACGCACTCAGCCTCTTGGTCATAGTGGACTTCGGCAATCATGGTGAAGACCTTAAATGACCATGTTGTTAGTTTGTCTGTTATCAGGTCGTGTTCTAAGAACTGCTATACCACTTAAGATGCCTGCAGTTGAATCGTGGGGGCCAGATGGCAGATGGTTCAGTAGATCTGCTGCCAGAGTCCCTCAGTGTGGGCAGCAGGAGGAACTGGAGCCATGAGGTCATTTTCTCTGGGAAGTGATAGTGGTGAGGGCTCCAGGGGGTTTGGGTTTGAGCTGTTCCCACAGGTGATGGATGGGCTCAATGCCAGGCATAAATAAGCAGGGTCCCTGCACACTGAATGGTCAGCCTGCTGAGGATCCCTGCCCCCCTTATTGATGAGGAGTCCTCTGATCTTACAAGGGATCCAGTCGGTGGTAGTCAGGATCCCCATGCTCTTTCATTTGGGGGTGGTTTTTTGTCTCCCCATTTGGCTGCCTTTTTGGGTTTGTGTCTATGTATAAGGTAGATCTGCTATGACTCCCCAACTCTAGTGCAGGACAATGTCAGATTCTGTTACTGATTGGCCCTGAATACCCTGTTTGGGCTGTCAGCAATCCATAGCTTGTGGCTCCCTCTGCTGGTGCTGGATGCCTTTTCCCCACGCTGCTCATAGCCACATGCTCCTCCCCATGAGGCCCAGGCCTCAAGACATCCCCTGGGCTTTGGGCTACTCGTGTGCAAACCAATCAGGTGTTCCAAGATAATTAGGTACAACAGGTGTCTGGATGTGGGACTTTTGGGGTTTTATATAAATAACTAATCGTGGAGTTTACATCATAGCTGTGGTTTTCAGAGATTAGCAAGGAGCCATTAGTCATGTGACTGGGGATGTGGACTGGCTTTGAATGTCCCTGCTCCTGAAACATGCGGCCTCTATACTCTGGGGTTTGGGTGATTAGGCTGGAGAGCATCACTTGTGAGAATATCAGCTGAGAAGATGCACTAGGTCTCCACCTTAATTATAGGTCTGGGCTGTGCTCTCAATTCCCTGGGTACCCTGGGCGGGGGTGGAGTGGGGTTAGGGCCACAGACTTCTATGATCTGCCTGCCTGCGTGTGGCCATGTCTGCCTGCCCCTCAGGCTTCTCCATCAGTAGAACCAGCAGTGGTGTTCTGACTGGTAGAATTGTCTTTGTGCTGCCAGAGCAAGTGGGAAATTTGACTTTCCCTCATGGATGTTGCACAGTTGGGAGGGTAAGGGAATAGGCTCCTGTGGAGGGCGTGTTGCAGGTTGCCTGTGGTGAGTGGATGGCATGCTCTTGTCCTCCAGAGCATTCTGATGACTGAGGTGAGAGAGCAGCCTCTGGGCCTCACTGACCAGGCAGAGATACCAGATGCCAGGAGCATGGACAAGAGCCAGAACTCCCACCCTAGCCCCACCTTGGAGCAGGGAGAGTGGGGGCATTGGGCCAAAGGGTGAAGCATATCTGATGTGACCTTCCAACTTTAGCTGTCATGGACCCATTGCTGACATGACCATATTTTTTCAGATGCAGTGCACTGGGGTCTACTTGTGTCTCACAGAATAGCACATCACTGTTCTCACGTCTCTTTGTTCCTTCTCCAGCACTTCTGCCATGTCCCTTCTCTACGAATGTGTGAACACTGTCATCGCAGGTAAGAACCACAGTTACCTGGTTCTGAAACAGATTGCTGTCCTTAGTGGGAGGCCCTACTCCACTACTACCTCATGGGATCTCGGGTGGGACAAGAGAGTACCCATCCTGGTGATGGGGCCTGGGATGGGCTGGTCCCTGATGGCTGTCCGTCCCCAGCCCCCGTTAGTGTATACAAGGTCACCTGGAATTGCAGATTCCCAACCTTCTCCACCCGATTCTCACTGGTCTCAGTGCTGTATTTTTAGTCCATCTCTGAACCACTCCCAGCCCTATGGGAAGTGTCACAGCCAGAGTCCACTGCCCTCACCAGCCTCCAGTGTCCAATCCTGCTATTTTTATCCCATCCATTACAGTCACACTCTTTAGGTACTTAGGGGTAGGTGTCCACAACACAGACTTTCTGCAATGCAATCATGGCTGCTCCTCAGAAGGTCTTCTGAGAAACCGTTTGTTAGGGTCAGGACTTGGCCCAGGGCCGTGCAGAACGCTGCTGATGGGTGTTCATACCATTGAGGACTTACAGTCTCTCTCCCTGCTGTGTCTAAAGTTGTTACTCCCAGGCTGGCTGGCTATCTCCTGGTTCGACGTCTGAACCATGTGTTGCTATAGCTGGGCATCTTACAGATGGGCAGTGAGAGCTGGGGCTCAGGGGACTCAGCTTCGCACTGCCTGCCTGTCTCTGCCCGTCCTTGCCCAAAGCTGTTGAGAAGCAGTCTCGTGGTCCTTCATCCTGGACCCATGGGCAACCTTCAGTTCAGTGAATCACAGGAAGCTGGCCCAGGGTCTGTGCTCTGTGCCTGTAGCTCTGTGGCCTGGAGTGGGCCATGAGTATCCCTAAGGGCTGATGACAGTTCTGGAGAGAGGGGTGGCATGCAGGCAGGCCAGTGCCTGGAGATGGTAACCACAGATCCCAGAGAGTAGTCTCCTGCCTTTGGAAAGTTGGTGGGGCGGGCTGGGGCATGGCAGGATCAGAGATGGCCCTGGAGATAGGTGGAGCAGTTGGGGTTACTGGGAGGACAGTGGCCTTGGTCAGGTTGTCCAGGGGCTGGCATATCGCAGAGATCAAGGGTCTCCGGTGATTGTGCTGAGCACCAGGCATGACAGTGTGATCTGAGCTCTGTGGAACTACCCTGGGCAGAGATGCCTGTACTCTTAGGGCTTTGATTTTCTCTTGACCACAGAGACCCAGCACCCAGGGTTCTCACTGGGACTAGTTACACAGGTGCCTCTGGCCAGAATGTGAGGTCCAGACTCCAGGATAAGTGCCATTGCTCCACATAAACAATGGGTTTGTGAAATGTAGGGACAGGGAATGCTTCTCTCCTGTTCCCGTCTCCCTTACCCCCCATCAGTTCAGTTCCTGGACTCTTGATGAGGACCAGCCTTGACATACTTGCAAGCCTGCCTTCCCGGGGAGTGTGTTAGTCCTTTCCTGCACAAACACCAGCTGGTCCAAGAAGTTCCCAATGTGATGGTATTTCCCACTCAACATGTCCAGTGTGTATTTGGTCATGTCCTCCCTTCTCCCCCTTCCAAACACACACTGGACATGTTGAGTGGATGTCATCCTGCCAGGCTCTTAACTGAAGGTTGTCTGTTTCAGTTCTCATCTCCCTGTCCTCCGGCATGCCTAATCACAGTGCCAGCATCCAGGTATGTCCCGGGCCAGACACATGCTACAGGGTCCTGAGGCTCTGCCATCGTCTGGGCCTCTTCTCCCTTCAGTGTCCCTGCCCTGGAAGCCGCCTGCTCCTGTGATCTGACAGATGCTGGCCCACGCTTGTACGTCCCCATCATTCATGCCTGGTCCCTGGTGCCCTGCACCCTTGGAGGGAGCAAGCCAGTGGCCATACCTGCTCGGCTGCCCTGGTACAGCTCTTGAGTTCTTTAGCAGCTCCTGGTTCTCTTTGCAGAAACCTGAACCTGTGCCTATGTCTTGTCCCCTGTTCTCGGGTCTCCCCCATCCTGGATCTCTATCTTCTTTGTGACCCCTGTAAATGCTGTGTTCACCCTGGAGCACAGAGCCCCATGGGCTCCCTGAGTGGCCTGGGGACTGTCGCGATGGTCATTCCATTGTTTTGGGGGTTCAAGTTTATTTTTACATAAGTAACATGTAACTAGGTCCCCGGATCTCATCCTTGTCCCAGAAGGCATTGCTATGCTGTCCTGTGTCTTCACACATGTGAACACCCATGGAAACTGCCAGGGTGTCCTTGCATGTTTCTGTGGGTGCTCTCACTGCCCATCTGTAAGATGCATCTACATTGGATATCTACTGTCTCTCTGTCCTCAGTGGTGCTTACAAAGAGTCCTCCTGAGCTCATCCGGGTGCTCCGTAGTATGGAGGCCGTGGTGTGCAGAGGTCCCCAGTTCATAGGGGTGTGGGGCAGGAGTTCACTGCATTCATCATTGCTTCAGGAGATGTAACCAGTGTCATCTCCCCGTTTGCAGCTCTGTGTTCAGAAGTTAAGGATATTAATAGAAGACTCGGACCAAAACTGTAAGTCGCTCCCCTTTGTAGAGCTGTGTGCATTCCTGCTGGGTGCATAAGACTCTGTCATTAATTAGATATGGCAGCTCACAGCTCCTTGATGTCTTTCTGACAGACATGGAGCAGCCCTACTGGTCTTGTGTGCACTCTTCTGTTGTAAATGTGTTCTGTTGAGAGATTCCAGCCAGTGACATCGCCTAGTGCCTGACTGTGGTGGCCAGGGCTTCTAAGGCCCAGGCATGTGGACTGCTCTTTTTGAGGTCAGATCTGTTTAGAGCAGGGACTGCCAATAAGTCTTCATTTTTGCAGTTATATAGTCTCTGCTCTTGTAGCTTAAAAGCCGACTTTAGACAAGATTTAAGTAACGGGTGGCATTGTGCCAATTCAACTTCATTTAAAGAACAGGCTTCAGGCTGAACATGGCCGGAAGGGTGTTCTGGAGGGTGCGGTGAAAGGGGCCAGCAGTGAAACATGTTCTCAGGTCAGGGCCAGGTGGCAGGCCTCTCTCTGTGTCAGCCCTGAAGCCTTTTGCAGTGTGTTCGGGTTTAACCGTGTCTTACTGTCTCCTCAGTGAAATACCTGGGGCTGTTGGCCATGTCCAAGATCCTGAGAACGCACCCCAAGTCTGTGCAGGCCCACAAAGACCTCGTTTTGCAGTGTCTGGATGACAAGGACGAGTCCATCCGGCTGCGGGCCCTCGACCTCCTGTATGGAATGGTGTGTGCCCCCCGGGGTCGGTTCTGTCATTCTCTGTGTTCCTTTGCCCAATCCCTCTCTCACAAGCCCCCCTCTGTCCCCCGCAGGTGTCTAAGAAGAACCTGATGGAGATTGTCAAGAAGCTGATGACCCACGTGGACAAGGCGGAGGGCACAACCTACCGGGATGAGCTGCTTACGAAGATCATTGACATCTGTAGCCAGTCCAACTACCAACACATCACAAACTTTGAATGGCACGTGCATCCATAGCCCAGGGGGCACAGGGACCAGCCTCCCGGTGGGCATGTCTCAATGGCTCCCTTCTGCAGGTACATCAGCATCCTGGTGGAGCTGACCCGGCTGGAAGGCACTCGCCATGGCCACCTCATCGCTGCACAGATGCTAGACGTGGCCATCCGAGTGAAGGCCATCCGGAAGTTCGCCGTGTCACAAATGTCTGTGCTGCTCGACAGCACTCACCTGGTGGCCAGTAGCACCCAGCGCAATGGGATCTGTGAGGTGCTCTACGCCGCTGCCTGGATCTGTGGGGAGTTCTCAGAGTGAGTGGGCGCCAACGGGCTCCTGGGGCCTGTGCTCACGAGAAGAAAGGATGAGGGAACGTGTTCGGCAGACTCGTCCTCTCCCTGGCATCTGCCACACCAGAGCCTAGTCTGCAAACCTGGTTTCCCCATCATAGAGCGCTCCACCTCTGCACTGGCAGCATCCCTGCTGCTTTCTCATTAGGGAAAAGCCTCTGTAAGCTTTGTGCCCATCCTCACGTGCATGGGTTTTTTCCTGTCCTTGTTGGTTTCAGGTTGTCATCACCACATTCTTGCTGGTGAATGGTGTCCTTTTTTCTCTTAACTCTTTTTAGCTACTCGGTGATTATCACATTGTTGCCCTGATTTCTTCCCTTAAATCCCCTCCCTCAACCCCTGATGCTGGGTGGGGTTGGGAATAGCCCCCCCTTTAGCAGAGCGCATGACCCCCCTTCTCTGTTCACCTCTCCCTGCCATCAGGCACCTGCAGGAGCCCCACCAGACCCTGGAGGCCATGCTGCAGCCCAAGGTCACCACTTTGCCAGGCCACATCCAGGCTGTGTACGTGCAGAATGTGGTGAAGCTGTACGCGTCCATCCTGCAGCAGAAGGAACAGGACTCAGATGCTGAGGCGGCCCAGGAGCTCACACAGCTCATGGTGGAGCGGCTACCCCAGTTTGTGCAGAGTGCAGACCTGGAGGTCCAAGAGCGGGTATGTGCTAGCAGGCAGCATCCCTGAGGGAGCACAGGTGGAGCCCATTGAGAGTTGTGGGGAATGTGTGGACCCTGATTTAAGGGTGTTGGCAGACTCAGGGTCCGTGGGTTGCATTCTTGAACCCTAAGTTAGAGCTCCACAGTCCTGCTGGTGATCTGGGCATGGTCCCTTCTACATATCTTGCTTGTGGGCCTGGTTTTGTTCCACACTTACCTCTGGTGACGGAGCTGGGAGCCAGGACTATTTGCTCCACAGCCAAAGACTTCTTGTGGGGCCTTACAGGTGTCCTCAGCAGAGTTCCAGACAAAGCAGCTGAGTGTCCCCTCCATGGGCTGGGTTCCTGCATGTCTAAGTGATGCCCTGTGATTGTCAGATGGCTCCTTGACTCATCCATAGCTCCTCCTTGGCCCCACAGGCATCCTGCATCTTGCAGCTGGTCAAGCACATCCAGAAGCTTCAGGCCAAGGATGTGCCAGTGGCAGAAGAAGTGAGCGCCCTCTTTGCCGGGGAGCTGAACCCAGTGGCTCCCAAGGCCCAGAAGAAGGTTCCGGTCCCCGAAGGGTGAGCCATGTGGCTCATGAAAGGAAATTGAGTTGGGGGCAGGGTTTGTGGCCCCAAGAGGGGCGGTGGAAGCAGCACTGCCTGAGTCTTAAGTAAAAGAAAAGGGCCTCCTGTACCTGAGGCTCCCATAGGCTTGATCCCCATCATGTAGATCATACTAGAGTTCACAGTTCTTGTGGGGCCCTGCTGTCTTCATCCTTGGTGCAACTCCCAGGAAGTGGGTCTGCTGGCAATTCTTTCCCACAAACTTCAGAGGTGGTGTGAGCCCCAGAATGGGGGAGCCGTGAAGTGTAGCACAGGCTCCAGGGTCCCTTGGACTCTGCCTCATTCTTGGTGGCCCCTATCATAAGTACTCCAGGGTCAGGCTCCCAGGCTGGAGCTCCTATGTGACCTCGCTGTGCCTTGCAGCCTGGACCTGGATGCCTGGATCAACGAGCCGCTCTCAGATAGTGAGTCTGAGGATGAGATGCCCAAGGCTATCTTCCATGATGAGGAGCAACGGCATGCCAAGCAGCAGCCACCCAAGGCCGATGAGGAGGAGCTGGCCCGGGTGAGTGTCATGACTTTGGGGCAGTTGGCCCGCTCAGAGCAAGCTCTGAACCCCTAGCTCGTGCAGCCATGCATGGTCCTGCTGGATCTAGGCTGTGTCCCATTGTCCTCCACAGAGGACTGAGTCAATCCTTGATGCCAGAGTTGAGTTTTGTTGAAGTGAGGAGAAACTTTGACCCTAGAGAGACCCACGGGGGCCTGACCTGGCGCCCAGGGCCCTATAGGTGCACTCAGCACACTTCTGTCAGCTCCAAAGTCTCCCGGGTACAGGACTTTCTAACAGTAGCCCAAAGTACAGAGAGGCTGTGTTTCCCTATTCCACCATACCTGGCTCCTCCGAAATTATGGACACTACCCCTCACTTCAGGAACCCCAACAGTCCCCCTCTCATGAACTGTCCTGGGTCTCCCAGGCTAAGCCTTGGGGCAGTGTGACCTGGCTCCCATCTCAGCTGTGCTCTGGAGTTGAGGGGGTCTCCCCACTTGAGATCTAGTCCTGAACTTGGAGATGGTAGTTCCCCCGCCTGGGATTATTGCCACCTGCTGCCTATCCCCACACCTGCTACTTCCCGCTGCTGACCCCAGTATCCTTGTCAGTCAAAGGCCCATAGAGAAAGTACTGGTGAACCCTGGCTCCCTGTTACCCAGGAACTGCAGCATGGAGGTGGCCCACACTGGAAAGGAACAAGGGCTTATGCTTCCTCCTGCATGTCCAGCATGAGACCAGACATGGGGCCAGAGCAAGGGGTGAAGCTGTACGCGTCCATCCTGGGCCTTTTGTGAACCAGGCATAGTTTTATAGAAACTATGCCAGTTTCTACAGCCCACTCTGTCCCTTATGCTCCACATGTTCGCTGACCTTGAATCTTGTCCCCACAGCGTCGAGAAGCCCGGAAACAGGAGCAGGCCAACAACCCCTTCTATATCAAAAGTTCCCCGTCCCCCCAAAAGGTGAGACCTGCCTGAAACATCCTCCAGGGACATACACTTGGCCCTGCGCGGGCCCTGTCCATTCTTGGGGAGACCAGGGGCCACCATCTGCAGGCCAGTGATGGGCTGTCTTCATAGATCCACGTGGCAGGACTGAGAAGGTTTCCAGACCCTGGGACCTAGGAAACGGGCAGTCCCATACATGGTGCTCAAGTTCAGGCTACTTGGCTGCTTTCATTGATACCCTTTACCCAGTGGACTCCCAATGCAGGGTACATTGGGCTCTGCGCCCGAGACGTGGCTCTGGTTAGTGGGCTCAGGTGCTTCTGTTCTTGGGCTTGCTGGATCTCTGCTTGGCCTCCTAAGGGACTCACAGACCCTTTCCCACCTGCTGTGCGAGAGGTACCCGTGTTGTCTGCCTAACTTGGAAAAAGGCGATTGAGAGGGAGAAAGTTAATGGAAGTTTTGTGTCTCAATCTATACTTGTTCATGCTGAAGACAATCTTCCAGGAGGAACCCTTCCTTCCCCCATGTCATCGTCACTAACACCCTCTACTGGGCAGTGAACTCCTCCTCGTTCATCCTGCCCAATAACGTTTTGCTGTTTGCCTCTGCAGCGTTACCAGGATGCACCGGGCGTGGAGCACATACCTGTAGTGCAGATCGACCTCTCAGTGCCCCTGAAGGTGCCAGGCAAGTGTCTGCCTAGTTTAGGGAATGCAGGTGGCATAGGGACAGGGAGCTCCCTGATGGCAAGGGTGGCAGGAGACCCAAGTCCAGGGGCTTGAGGGGCATTGCCTGCATGTCCCATCACCCTGTAGTGCAGGCAGGGTGCGGGGTGCTTCTCCTGAGCCCAGGCTGCTCACATATGGCTCTAAGGGTGGAATTGGATGGGGTTGAGGCCCATGTTCATGCCTACAGGGCTGCCCACATCGGAGCAGTACGTGAAGCTGGAGGAGGAGAGGCGGCACCGGCAGCGGCTTGAGAAGGACAGGCGGAAGAAAAAGAGGAAGGAGAAGAAGGGCAAGACGCGACGCCATAGCTCGCTGCACACAGAGAGTGATGAGGACATTGCCCCAGCTCAGCAGGTGGACATCGTCACTGAGGAGATGCCCGAGGTCAGCCTTTTAGCCCGACACAGGCTCCTTTCCGCCTCCATGTGACCCAACTGGTCAGAGAGTTACACGCAAGTGTGCTTCCTCATTGCCACTATCTCTGTGCCCCAGGAAGGCTGAAGCCAGTGCTGTTCTATGCCCAAGCCTAAAGGCCAGGGGGTGTTGTGCTGTGAGTGGACGTGTGTGTGTGTGTATGTGTGTTCGTCTCTTCTCCCTCCCCAACCCTGCACTCCCACTCTGTTTCCTATAGCCTGGAGGTACTGGCTCATTCCAACCTTTTGGGCTGATCAGACACTCTCATGTCTGTGGACCTGGGCATTTGTGTCCAAGAAAGGTGGTGGAGGGGCCTCCTGAGCTCAGGGTCCAATGGGCTGGGTGACAACACCAAATCTCCTTCTTCCCTTAGAATGCTCTGCCCAGTGACGAAGACGACAAAGATCCCAATGATCCCTACAGAGCCCTGGACATTGACTTGGATAAGTGAGTGTGGGGCTGGGGCTGGGCCTGGGCCTGGGTAGTGGCCCTGCAGGGCTGGACTCAGACGTAGGCTTTCCTGATGTTTCTCTGTCCTTGCCATCCCCCTCCACCCTTTACATTTGTATACAACGTGTGCGCACAGAAGGGGTGGCAAAGGGTTCATCCTCCTCCAGACCTTGTCACAGGCCACATGAATGCCTGGGGACAGGGATCAAGTGCAGGAAGACGAGCCCAGCTTTTCCTGTGACCGGCCCCTACCCTACTCCCAGGCCCTTAGCTGACAGCGAGAAACTGCCCGTCCAGAAACACAGAAATGCCGAGACCTCCAAGTCCCCTGAGAAAGAGGATATACCTGTCATAGAAAAGAAAAGCAAGAAACCCAAGAAGAAAGAGAAGAAGCACAAAGAGAAAGACCGGGAAAGAAGGAAAGAGAAGGAGCGGAAGGTGAGTGCTGCCTGCCGTGGATCTCGTCGTCCTCCCTCCCTCCCTCCGGCGCAGGCGGCAGCCGTATGGGAGACAGGGCAGGCACCCCAGCCTTGGTGGCACTGAGACTTGTCACAGCCTTTGTGATCAGGGGAGGATGAACTAATGTCAGCCTCCCTAAGCGGGACATCCAGATATTTTTTGTGTTTGCATGTATTTTATCCACACGGCCCTGAGCCTGGAGCGGGCTACCTTGCAGGGTCCACCTGGGTTTCTGGGGCCCATCCGCTGCTGTGGCCACAGCCCATCTTTCTGTGGTTTCAGGGCGAGGACTTGGATTTCTGGCTGTCCACCACACCACCACCACCTGCCGCTGCCCCAGCCGCATCCATGGTAAGACCCTGACAGGTGCACTGTGCTAACCCCAAGGTCCTCAACTGGATTGGTGCATTTCATGGTCTTGGCAGAGCTGCCTCTATGGAGTGCAGGGACAACCCTCTCTGCATGCTGCCCACATCAGCCCTTCCCCTCCATCACCCATCTGAACCTTCCTGGCTGTCCAGGCCCCAGTGATGGACTCTCACACAGGCCAGCCAGATACGGCAGCTTTCATGCCTCATGCCTTACCGAGGCAGTGGCTGTAGCAATGTGGCAGTGGTTAGGCGACTGACCCTCAACACAGAGCCTGCCACTGCCCCAGCCCCATCCACAGTGCCCCCGAATCTGGCAGCAGCCTTGAACACTCTCTTTATGAAAGTAGATGGCGCTCTGTGGTCTTATGCAGTGACCCAGTCAGTGTCAGTTGGTCTCGACCAGGCTTCCTCTCCCATCTGTCAGCCGCATGCACTTGATGGCCACACACCTGCATGCTGACACACATCTGGCATGCAAGAGGAGGCCGCCTGGGCAGAGGGGGTCCGGGGTGTGTCCCAGTATGAGGGTAGGCCAGGGCACAGGGGTAGAGGATACCTTGTTTGGGGTTCTGGCTACCCTCTCCTCCTCCACCCCCCACCCACCCCTGAGCTTCCACCACCGTGTTCCCTGCAGGAAGGGCCAACAGTGAGCACAGTTGTCACTGCTCCTGAGGAAGAGCGTGAGGGACCCAAGAGACAGGAGCAAGATGAGGAAGAGGAGGAGGAGGAAGAGCGAGACTCTGAGAAGGTGAGGATTCCCACCTGGTCATTCTCATGGGGGTGGGCCGAGCACCTATGTTCAGGGCTGGTGGGGGAGAGACCAGGTTCAGGGCTGGAGGGTGGTTACCTATTGCCCAAATCCTTCCAGTGGGGCCCATTGACCTGATGGTGGTCTCCTGTCACTGTGTTTATGGGATTCTGATTTTCATAGCTTTATTGAGTTGTAACGCATACCACAAAGCTCGCCCATTAAAGTGGACAGTTCACTACTGGTTGGTGGTACATTCTAAAAATTGTGTTGTGCAACCATCTGCCTAATTCCAGAACATTCATCATCCTCTCTTGCCAAAAAAAGAACCTGTTTCCATCAGTAGTTACCACCCAGGAAGGCTGACCCCCACCCAGCCTGACAACCACCCATCTATTTCCTGTCTCTGCTTTTGCCTGTTTTGGACATAAATGGGATCACACGCTGTGACCCTTGTGTCCGGTTCCTCTCACTAAGCATTGTTTTCAAATTCCATCCACATGGTGTCAGTGCTTCACGCCTTTTCACGGCTGAATAATGTTCCAGTGCGAATGAACGACTTGTGCTTATCCTTTCGTCTACTGAGGTGCTTTTGGATTGTTTTCACTTCTGGCTGTTGTGAATCCTGCTGCTGTGAACACATGTGGGCAGGATTCTGTGTGGACATAGGTTTTCAATTCTTGGGTGTGTTCTGACGAGTTTCCTATTTGCTGAGCCATCGAATGAATTCTTGCTCTTTTCCCCGGTATGTCTTTGCTTCAAATCAGCAGCAATTGTCCGGCAGTGAGTTCCCAGGTCCTTATCTCAGCTGTACTGAGCTTCATCATTCCCCATGGACCCTGGGGAGTTTTTGGCCCATCTACCCTGACATCTGACCCTTACCTGGGTGCATTTGATCTCTGTGTCTTCAGTCAGGGTACATGAGGGGAGGGCATTATCGCCATAATAGTTTGGGATTGACCCCGACCTATGCTCTGGCTTCAGAAACCATCCAAGCATAAGAAGAAGAAGCATAAGAAGGAAAAGGAGGAGAGACCCAAAGACAAGAAGAAGTCCAAGAAGAAGCCTCCTGCAGATGATGAGGTGGCAGAGCCCCTGGAGAACGGCGCACTCCATGAGCCTCTTCCGGTGAGGGCACTTTACTTCCTCTTAGGAGCCAGCTGTGGCAGGCTGTCAGGCCTTAGGCGGTGGGCTGGTGGTCCCTAGGGTCTGACTGTGGACATGGATGGAGGGGGTGGTTCATCTCTCACCATGCTGGTATCGAAATCCCCTGGGCGTAAACTTGTGTTGGGGGGGGGACTTCTTGCCCCCAATTCTCACAGGCTTAGTATTTCAACCCAGAGCACTTGGCAGCTTCCACTGACTTTGTTTTGTGAGGGCGCTCTAAGGCTCTGGTGAACCAAAGCTGAATCGTTTTCCTTTGTTCCCAGCCCATGTCCAGCTACTCTCTCCTGGCTGAGAATTCCTATGTTAAAATGGTGAGTGATGCAGGCATTTCAGAGGCGCTGGTGGGTAGCTTGGTGTCCCTTTGTATGGGTGGGGGAGGTGGCTGCACCAAGAGAGGCATGAGTGGCTCCAACTGTGGGTCCCCATTGGCAGCCTCTCCATGGAAAGAACCCCACGTCACATGTATGATAGCAAGGCCTGCTCAGCGTGTGTGAGGTCAGGGGCCGATGGGATGGCAACCTTTTCTTGAAGAAAGGACGGATATAGCTAAGTACTGCAGACAGAACGGAGATGAGGCTTTCTATGAGAACTAGGAAGCATTCCCACTCCTCTGAGCTTATGGAATGGGCGTATGCTGGCCCAGAATGGGTCCCATGGGCTCCCACCACAACCACTTTGCAGACATACGACATTCAGGGCAGCCTCCAGAAGGACAGCCAGGTCACCGTGTTCATTGTACTGGAAAACCTGAGCAGCAGCTTCCTGAAGAGCATGGAGCTCAACGTGCTGGACTCACTCAACACCAAACTGGCCCGGCCAGAGGGCTCCTCTGTCCATGATGGCGTCCCCGTGCCTTTCCAGCTGCCTCCAGGTGAGCAGTGGCTGACGTCCAGGTCTCAGTGGAGGTCAGGCATTCTCTCAGGCTTGAGCTCGTTCTTATCACACCTCCTTCCTTCGGTCTTAGGGATGCCCACTCACCTGCTTCCGGGGGGCTGGCTTCGTGCAGCTTCTCAGGCCAGCCTGCCTCTCTCCCCCTTCCTCCTTCACCAGGCATCTCCAACGAAGCTCAGTTTGTGTTCACCATTCAGAGTATCATCATGGCCCAGAAACTCAAGGGAACCCTGTCATTTATTGCTAAGGTATGTGGGGCCTGAGGTAGTGGAATGGCCTACATTAACCCCACACCACTCCAAGCATACCCAGAACCCAGGGCTTGGTATCCAGAGAGCAAGTGAGGCCCTCTTGGGAGCCACTCCCAGATTACCTGGATGCGTCTGAGCTCAAAGACCCTACCCCTTTCCTGCTTCCAAGCTCAAGGCCTGTCCCCCCTCCCCACTCGCCCTGCTCCGGAGCTCTCAGGCATAGTCCCCGCACCCCACTCATCCAGCCCCTCCTCCCTACTCACCCCGCACCCTGCTCCCACAGAACGACGAGGGCTCTACCCACGAGAAGCTGGACTTCAAGTTGCACTTCAGCTGCACTTCATACTTGATCACGACTCCGTGCTACAGGTGCATGAGCCCGCCTGCCTTCCCTTCCCACCCCATGGGACAGTCAGAGTGGGTCCCATCCCACCTTACTGTTGTTGTGAGGCTCTTTCTGTGCAGTTACCTCACAAAGTCCTCTGACCTAAGTGTTAAAAGGCAGTAGGGTTGGGTTGACAAGCTTGTAGGTAGTGCAGAAAGTCTGGCTCCTCTTCCATTCAGCAGCTCAGGCCACATAACAAACACCATAGGCTGAGCAGCTCAAACAGCAAACATTGGTTCTCTCTCAGCGTTAGAAGTTGGAATCCTAGATCAAAGTGTTGGCGGGTTGATTTCTTCTGAGACCTCTGTCTTTGGCATGTAGACGCTATCTTCTTTGTGTCCCCACATGGTTGTTTCTCTTTCCTGATCTGCTTTTATAAGGACCCAGTTATGTTGGATGATGGCCCCTTAGTGACCCCCATCTCCCAATAGTCACATTCTGAGTTCCTGGAGTTTGGGGCTTCAACATAGGAATTGGGCGGGGAAAGCACAGTTTAGCCCAAGTCATTGGCACACAGGAGGGATCCCACCTCCTCCATGCTGGGGAGCCTGCCTATTATCAGCCTCCCTGTCCTTGTCTTTTCCACAGCGACGCCTTTGCCAAGTTGCTGGAGTCTGGGGACCTGAGCATGAGCTCAATCAAGGTTGATGGCATTAATATGTCCTTCCAGAACCTTTTGACAAAGATCTGCTTTCATCACCATTTTTCTGGTAAGGGATTTGATGGGACCAGTAGGCTGGAGTTTGCTAACACGTGGTTCCCACTCTGCTCTCCTCAGGGCCACATTGGCCTCACCCACTTGCTCTGTTGCAGTTGTGGAGCGAGTGGACTCCTGCGCCTCCCTGTACAGCCGATCCATCCAGGGTCACCACGTCTGCCTCCTCGTGAAAAAGGTGAGCCTACATGAAGGCAGCCTTCTCACTCCATGCCACCATGCCCTTCACACCATGTCTCTTCCCCCTAGTCCCTGCAGACTGTCCTATGTAACCCATGGCCGAATTCAGTCTGTGACTGCTCTGCTGAGGTCCATGGAGCCATGTTCATGAGGACAGTTGGCCTTGCGTTTTCAGCTGGGTTTGGGCCTCAGGGCACCCATGGCTTCATCACATGAGGTGGGGAGCTCTTCTCCCCTTCTGCATTTTCTGGAAGAGGTTGTATGTAATTCCTGTATTTCTTCCTTACACGTTTTGCAGAATCCACCAGGGAAACCATCCAGGCTTGGAGGTTTCTTTTTTGGGAGGTTTTTATCTACATATTCCTTTTACTTAATAGTCATAGGATCCTTACTGTCTCTGTTTCCCCTCAGGTGAGTGTTGGTAGTTTGTGGTTTTCAAAGAATTAGTTTGTTTCCCCTAAATTACCGAATTAATTGATATGGGCAGTCATTTGTGGTCCTCTTGTTCTTAGAATGCCCGACTGGTCAATACTAATTACTTTCCTTCAATTCTGATGTTAGCAGTTTGTGTCTTCTCTCATTTTTCTTGACTTTTTTTTTTTATTAATTTTTCTTTATTGTTGTAATTAATACAAATGTCTTCTTTGGGTTTTTGTATTTTCCCCATTGACCCCCTCCTCCCCACTCACCCCTCCCAAGCCTTCACCACACTATTGTCTGTGTTCTCATTTACTTGGTTAGCCTAGAGTTTTTCAATTATATTTACATATTTAAATTTTCAGTCAAGCTTTTAATGAAAATACAATGAAATAATAGTTTCTCATCACTATACATTAACACTGCACACTTCTGGAGAGATCAGTCATTGGTGAATTGCTTTTCTGTGACACTTGAGGACTGAATACTTGCAGCTTTGACCTAAAACACTCAATTTCATTGGTCTTTTCAAAGATCAATATAAAAACTTCAGGTGGAATATGGGTATGTCACCACCCTATCCGTCCCTTGACCCTCCCTCTGTGAACAGTTGTATTGCACTTGAAGACATCAAAGATGCCATTACATCACATTATACTTTGCTTTCGATCCTTGATAGATTAAGAGAACTCAGGAGCAGAATGTCTGACATGCTTTCTCATGTGTTGACCATTTCTATTGTTCTCATTCCTAATGTTCATGTCTTCTTCTGGCTCAGTCCCTTCTGTCTGAAGAACTTTGTTTTAGCAATTAAAAAAAATTTTTTTTATTGATTTTGAAAGCACCCCCACATAGGGACAGCAATTGGAAAAATCAAAAGTTCAATACATCTATTTGTGAGGCAGGATTTTCATGCAGTTTTCTACATACTGGACTGCGTTTTCCCTTTTTCAGGGTGAGAAGTCCGTATCGGTGGATGGGAAGTGCAGCGATGCCACACTGCTCAGCAACCTGCTGGAGGAGATGAAGGCTACATTGGCCACGTGCTGACTGTTGTCACTGAGGCCACCACAGCGAGGATGTGAAGGAGAGACAGGTTCCAAATGCTAGTTTCTCCTTTGTCGCATGTACTTACCAGCCCGGCGTTACGTCCACTGTCGTCACGGTTAGACATTGAGGTCTACGTTCACTGATTTCTCCTGTCATCTTTTTTACTTTGACTCTCCCCCTTCTCTTTGGGGAGGAACCCTGTTCCAGTCCTCAAACCATCAGTGACTCCTGTAGCCGGGGTCAACTGCACGTGGCTGCAAGAGCTATTCAAGGAATGAGTGTGACCACTGTCCAAGCCAGGACTGGGTGGGCCGGGTGATGGTGTTCAGCGGACAGGTCAGGGAGGCACGTCCTGCTTCTGTGAAGTCATCCAATCCTATTAGTCTCCAATTCCCCACCTGGGAGGCAAGAAATGGGCTGGCTGCTCACCACAGTGACATTCCCCTTACACCTCACAGCCAGTCAGTTCTCTCTCGCCAGGACACATGGTGGGGAAATGGTCATGCAAGCCGTTGTCCGTTGCTTTGTGTCCCACTGCTGTGTTTGTGTGCCGGGTAGAAAATGGCAATGGATTGCAAGGCATAGGTGAGGGTTGCAGTCTGGGTAGGGATTTATTCAGGACCCTTACCAAGAGCAGGGAATGGAATTGTTTTGTTTCCTTTCCAGTAAAATAAGTCTTGGGGTTTGTCCTCCCATCATATCCACAGCTGCTGGGAAGGCCCAGGCCTGGGTTCCATGTCCTGATGGCGAAGCACATGCGTCCTGGGGAGGTCAGGTCCCTTAATGCGACTCATGGGCAGGGCAAGGGGACTCTGGCCCACCCCAGTGAGACTTTCCTCAGAGATGATGGTCCTCAATGATGTTTTAACTATCCTTTTGATGAAAACTGTCACTTTAGCATGTAATCTATTGCAGAATCCTGTGCAGTGATTCTAGAATCTCGAAATTGTATGATGTGTTATATAAGAATTTGCTATCAACATTCCCATGTAAAGGAGACATATCACGCTGCTGTCATGATTTTGTGTCAAGATGATCCAATAAACTTGCAAAATAGGCATTTACCTGTTGGCGGAGGTCCCCCTGGTGGCAGGGGAGTTGCGGGGGTCTGTGAACATCCCTGAATGTCTCCAAGTCAGAAGGGGCTGTGGGACACCCTCATCCTCTTAGGAGTTGACATGATGCCCATTTGCCATCCAGGTCCCTGGACTGGAAGTAATACACCACACCATTGGACTGTCCTAATACCACCTGAGCCTTTCTCATGCTGTTTTGTTTAAATCCTACACAGGTTCTGGGGAGGGAGGGGATATGTGGGAAGGAGGGAAGGGGGCAAAAAATAAATAAATAAATCCTACACAGGTGAAAATGTGGCTATCATCCTGTCACATTCAGTAGGAAGCCGTGCAGGGTGTGTGGGGTCCTCAAGAGTCCAGTGACTTAACTCCCATTTTCCCCTTCCAGACACAAGAACGAGAGAGAGCTGGAGGAGGAAGTCAGGGAAGCAGCACCCAGGCCAAAAAGGAGTGCCTGCTCAGAACAGACAGGAAAGGTACCTCAGGGCAGCATTTCAGAGCCTCCCTCCCGTATGCAACAGCTGTACTGCCTGAATCAGTCCATGTGGAGTGTTTACAGAAGCAGTGCTGTAGGGTTCCTTGGACAGGTTCCTTCCCACATGACCTGATGACCTGAGCCCCATGATCCACTGAAGCCAACCCTATTTCACTAGACTGTAGTCTCAGAATCATCAGAACCGTCTCGCTCCCAGGCTCCTTTCCAGGTGAGCCTGCCCACGTACACTCTGGCAAATCACAATCAAATTGGTGTGGGGACCTGACCTTTGGACCCTGTGTCCATGACGAGATGTGTCTTGCCCAGGGACCCAGCCCAAGCCTCACACAGTTTCTTCCTGCCCCTACAGGGACTGCTCCATGATGAGAAGTGTCGGGACATTTAATCCATCATATAGTTCCGATCCCACCTAGCACCTGCTGTATACAATCCATCCCCTTCCCCCTCCTCCCAGCCCTGGCCCTGCCTGGACTCTGATGGGATTGTGCAGCCCCTTCACCCCCCACCCCAGAGAGCAGCAAGCTTGCTCCAGAGTTGGGTTGGGACAGCCCAGCTGGGGTGAGTCTATCTGTGCTGTGTCAAGCACTCAAGCATTTTCCAGTGTCAGGCTAATGAGATGTGGGGGCTCTAGACCCATGAAGCTTGGTGATACCAGGCTGCAGAGAGAAATGGGTGCCTCAGTACTTCTTTCCCATCCCCACCTCAACCTAACTGGTACGTAGGTGTTTTGCTAGGGGTCTGGGCCTCCTCCCATCTAGGGCATGTGGCAGGGTTGCAGACAGATCCTCAAAGTTTTGTCTCCACCCAGCTCCCACCAGGCTAGGGTGGGAGCTGGGTGGAGAGGGGGTGCTCACCTTGTGTTGGTGCCCTGTCTGAAAGACACGACTGGGCCCTGGTTAGCCCCATGACCCCAGGTCCCTCCGCTGGGGTATATCCATCATGGGAGCAGGGATTCCTCCTAGGTTCTAACCACAACCCTGCTGCTACCCGTTTGGGGCAGGGGCAACACCAGACTGTGGGAAGGAACCCTTTAACCAAGATGATCTGGGGCCCTGAGCACAGGGTCCAGGTCCTGCCTCCTGGTGGCTGCCCTCGCACATAGCCTACTGACTGATAAAACACAACTCTCATTAAAGGAGGAAGCTCTGCACAGCTGTGTTCCACTGCACTGACAACTGTGGGGACACAGGTGTGAAGCCAATGTGGCCCGGAGTTCAGAGGGGCAGTTGTGCCCACCCCATCCTACCCATGTGATGAAAGGCAGGGGGGAGGAAGGACACATGGCCTAGACAGAGGCTCACTCTGCCTAGATGCTGACACTGCGGTCGGTGCAGGGACAAGAGCATGGAGAGCACCTACTTAGCAGGCAGGCCCTGCCTGTCCCTGACTCCAGTCCACCTTCTCAGGCCTGCCCAAGGCTTAGGGTTTGTCCATCATTCACCTGGGTGGCTCCTAGCCAGGAATGGAGTGACCACTGGACAGGGTGACAGCAATATTCACCAGAGCCTCTGGGGGCCAGTTGGGGAAGATTTCAGGGAGAAAGAGATGGGATTTATCTCTCAAGGGGCCCTGCTGGCACCCGCAGAATGAAAGGGTTCTTCTCAGGGAGCTCCCTGCTTCCAGATTGTCTAGTGCTGGCCGCAGGCTCTGAGTTACAATGCCTGAATGCACTGACACCCTATCCACATAACAGTCCCAGCTAGCGCCCTGGCCAAGGGGCTCCCAGCCTCTGAGGGGAGTAAAATACTCCTATGGCCATGGGGAGCACGCCCCTCCCTCACCCCTCAGTAGCTCCCTTTGAACGGCATTCTGGATGAGGTGCACCTGCTCCCAGAAGATGGCTGGGAGCTCCTTGGGGAAATACCTTGGCAGGGGGCGGGAAGTCAGGTTACAATGGCGGGCAGGGTGTCCTGGGGCATCCCCTTATCCGGGAAATACATCTTCCCCTGGGACAGCTGTTCCATCTTCTGGTACCCGGTGTTTGCCACCTGGTTCAGCTCTTCCCGGGCTAGGCACTGAAGGAGGGGCCCGGTGAGCGGCCTGATCGCGGGGATGGCCACGTGCAGCGCCTTCATTACGTCCTGGCTCCAGTCAGTGAGCAGCCGCCCGACGCGGGAATGCCGTCCACCTACCAGAACTTGAGGTTCATGTGATGGCGGGTGAAGAAGTTGCCATGACAGTGCAGCAGCCGCGGGCAGCCGGCCTTCAGTCCCAGTCCCAGAGGTAGGGCCGTGGCCATGGCCATCCATGCTCACCACCAACTGACCAACCGCACCCCCGCGCCACGCCTCTCCTCCGCGCACCAACCCGCAGGGCCGAGAACCGGAGACGCGGCTCAGCCTCCCAGGCCTCGCCCCTGGCCCCCGCTCCCTGAAGGCTCCTCTCCCCCGATCGGCCCCGCCCTGGGACCGCGACCATGTGAGCGCCCGCAGTCGGTGCTAACTTCCTGCTCCAGGACGTGCCCGGTTCCAGGCCCCGCCCCGCATTCCCAGCGCAGCGGAAGCTCCGCCCACAGGCCTCAACACTCACCAATGGCATCGCGGCTTCGGTTGCCAGGCAACATAGAGCGCGGGGTCGGGATGCGCCCCCTCCCGGTGGATACCTCGGCCCACCGGCTCCGCTTCCGGGGAGGCCTCAGTCTGCAGCGGAAGTGGGCCCGGCCGGGCGGGGCGGGCAGGCTCTGCGCGGAGTTACTCCTCGGCGGGAGGCGAGGTCCGAACCAGCGGGCGGCCGTGGCCGGGGACCGAGGACGGAGGCCAGCGCTGCCCGCAGGTCGGCGTGAGGCGGCAGGTGAGTCCTCGGAGGGGGAGCGCGGGCGGCGGACCCCCGAAGACCCCCCAAGCGGCGGGGGAACGCGGGCGGCGGGAGTTCGGGTCCCTCCGGAGGGGCCAGCGCGGGCGGCGGGAAGGGAGTAGTCGCGGTTCCTCGGTCGGATTCGGGGCTACAACTGTCAGTGTGGGGTCAATCCCGTGTCACTTGCTATGGCGAGGTCCCCGCCGCTGGTTTGGGTCAGTTCCGCAGGATTTCAGGGCTCCTGAACCTCGGGGAGTGGGCTTCTCGGGAGCGAGCTTCTCGCTTCCTGGTCCCGGGTCCCTGAGCGCCGGGCAGGGGCCGGGCGCGAGGCGTGGGCGGTGGCCGCTCTGCCCGTCGCGGGGACCTGGGCTTCGCAGCCCCGGCTCTGCACTGGCCGGTGGGCTGGCATGTGTTGGGAACAACCACGTATTTTATGAGATGTCACTGAGAGGGGAAGAGGGGCGTGGTTGGAAAATACAGAAAAATCACAAAGCAGAAAATGAAGCATCGGTGACCTACCACCCAGAGAGCCAGGGTCAATTTCAGGGTAAGATTCTTGTGGTCATTTGAGGTTTAATGGGTATACGATGCGCTGCACACATAGAAAGCACATAGGTAGATGCTGAGTATGATGT